AATCCATACATTTCTCCTTTCTGGCTGTTCTTTCTCATAGAAGCACAGCTCAGGTGTATCTCCTCGTCTATTAGTTGCACAACAATTATCTGGCTTTTTAAAAAAAAAAAAAAAAAAAAAGAAGTTATTCAGCACGGGACTTGATTATCAGGAAATAGTAATGTTTTGCCCGCGAAGGGGGCGTTCATCTAATGGTGTGACAACATGCATAAACTTATTGTACATAATCATTTGTAAGGACGTATCTAAGCATTTACAACTTGTTTACAGAAATGAGACACTGCTTTTTTATGTTCACAAGTGAAACAACTATGTGAAGTTGAATAGGTAGTTTTGAGAATTTAAGATTCTGATCTGAGAAATGTACTAAAGCGACAGGAAAAATGGTAATATTATTATTATTGTTAAAAGTATAATCAATTTTTCAGACATAATAATTAGACAAATAATTTAAATATTTAATGGAAAAAAATGTGAATAGTTATAGGCTTATGTTTATTCCAATAGATGGCAGCAAATGTCTTAATAAGAATAAAATGTTCAATAACCTACATATGGCTGTTGGGTATTAATTGCTTTAAAATATATCTTTTCTCTCACTTTCCTTTCTTAACCAGTTTATTAGAATAACATATTTTATTAGACTGTGTCTTTATTTTAATTGGAAAGAGGAGACATGGAACGAAAACAGAGGGAAGCATATTCACTGTAATTGCTTCCCTGAACCCCAAACCCCAAGTTCAGTATCTTAGAAAAGTAGAATATTTTGAAAAGATTCAGTATTGAAGACACCTGGTGCCACACTCTAATCAGCTAATTAACCCAAAACATCTGCAAAGGCCTTCAAATGGTCTCTTGGTTTAGTTCTGCAGGCTACACAATCAAAGGGAAGACAGTTGATTTGACAGTTGTTCAATAGACATCCATTGACACCTTGCACAAAGAGGGCAAGACACAAAAGGTCATTATAAAAAAGGCTGCCTGTTCACAGACCTTGGGTCTAAGCACATTAATAGAGAGGCGAAGGGATGGGAAAATATGTGTTAAAAAAGTGTGCAAGCAATAGGGATAACCGCACCGAGAATTGTAAAACAAAAGCCATTCAAAAATGTGGGTGAGATTAAAGAGTTGACTGCAGCTGGAGTCAGTGCTTTAAAAACCACTGCGCTGAGACATCTGCAAGACAACATCTCACATGGGCTAAATATTGGACTGCTGATGAGTGTTCCAAAGTCCTGTTCTTTGATGGAAAGTTAATTTTTCATTTCCTTTGGGAATCAGGATCCCAGAGTCTGGAGGAAGAGAGGAGAGGCACACATTCCTCATTGCTTGAGGTCTAGTGTAAAGTTAGCACAGTCAGGGATGGTTTGGGGTGCCATGTCATCTGCTGTGTTAATCCTCTGTGTTTTCTAGGTTCCAAGGTTAACACAGCTGTTTACCAAGACATTTTATAGCACTTCATGCTGCCTGCTGCTGACCAACTTTGTGGAGATGCAGAATTCATTTTCCAATAGGATTTGCCATCTGCACACAGTCCCAAAGCTACCAGTATCTGGTTTAAGGACCATGGTCTCCCTGTTTTTAATTGGCCAGCAAACTCGTCTGACCTTAACCCCATAGAAAATCAATGGGATACTGTGAAGTGGAAGATGTGATATGCCAAACTCAACAATGCAGAAATACTGTAGGCCACTATCAGAGCAACCTTATAACACATAAGCAGTGCCGAGCTGAGATGGAGCCTCCGGAAGAGTGGTCACCATAGCGTTTTTGTGGCTTTTCTGCAGTTTTCAACTACTGCTAGAGAGACCTGCACTCAGCTTGTTGTCACCATCACTGGAAGGTAGTAGAAATAACCGCCTGCAAGCTTGAGGGGTTCCCAAGCTTTTCAGCCTGTGAACTCAGGGGTGGATTTAGTGATTTAGTAAGCAATTCCAGCCATGGGGCCCAAAAGTTCTAAAATGCATCTTTTGCACCCATTTTTATTATTATTAATATTTTATATCTTATCATTTGATCTAATTTTTTACATTTTATAATGCTGAATAATAATAACATGTAAAGCACCTGGTAAAACTTGTGAAACGATTTGGAAAAAATAATAAATATTACAAATAATAAATGATAAAAAATAAATGAACTGTTTCGTTTGTTTACTATTATCCTCACCCAATGAGACTTGTGGGCACAATGTTTACAGCGCAAGTCTATTCTTGGTTTAACGTTGGAGACTGCCACTTAAAGATAATCCTCCATGTTCATTTGTGGCCTTTATTTTTAATGTATGTGACTGCAGTAAAGGTGTCACAGTTAAACATTGTGCCGTATAATCAATCTGCTGCAACTGACACAAATGCTGTCATTAATCTAATGTAATGACACCAGTGGTCACTATCCGGAAAAACTATTTGTATATAAAATGATAATTCTAATAGTTTAACCAAATTTGATTTTTGGAAATCACCAAGTGACCCTACTAACCCCTCCCTCGGCCCCCCTAAGAACCACTGAGCTAGAATGCAAACGAAAAAGCACTATCCGCTTGTTAAGTGGTGACGTGTTTGTGACGTATGTATACTGTTTCCGGGTCCAAGCCGCCGTTCATTTGAGTGGAGAAATCATTCGTTTATGATCGCGTTTTATTCCTATTACACATTAAAGTTCATTTTACATAAAGTCATAGTGTACACAACAATCTCTGGGCTTGCTGCATAACAAATACCATAATTTAAAAAATTTATAAAACAATTAATCACTTTCTGGCCATCGGATATTAGGCATGGCCATATATATTGCGATTGTGACTTTCGAAAGTATTAAATCGCTTTGTAAACGTTTATTATTACCATTTCATGAGTCTCCCCATTCAGTTGAATAGAGCGCTTGGACCCGGAAGCTACTCCGCGTGACATCACACTTAACATGCGGATTGCACTTTGCAGCAACAAAGATTGACTTGGATCATAGGTCTCAAACTTGATTCCTGGAGGGCCGCAGCTCTGCAGTTTTGCTCCAACCTTGATCAAACACAGCTGATCCAACTAATCAAGGAGTTCAAGACTACCAGAGACTACTAAGCAGGTGTGAGTTGTAAGTGGAGCTAAACTGTGCAGAGCTGCAGCCCTCCAGGAATTGAGTTTGAGACCACTCACTTAGGTTTTTTTTTATTTCCTTTATTTTAGGAGTTTTCACCTTCATTTGATGGGACAGTGGAGTGCTAGGTAGGAATGAATGTAGCTGGGACTTGGATCAATGTGAGCACCTCAGCGCGTGTGTCCATGCACTAACCACTAGGCTATTGCCACTGACTTAATGCCACTGCCTTAACTACTAATACTGGTAACAATGTTAATTATTTGGATTGGAGATCACAATTAGCTTTTTGCTTTTGTGTCAAAGTTGAAATGAGCCATCCTATGTTTCAGACTTAAGAAACAAGACATTTTTGATTTATTAGATGCTCATTTGATGAGTTGTACTTTTCCTTTTTGCTCAGTCAGTGTATGCTTCCAATGAAATGCTTTATTAAAATGTTTTTATACATTCTAGACATTTTTATTATATGTCCTCACTTTCTTTATGATAGTAAATGTATTTCACGTATGTCTATCACTTATTTAGTGTTAGAATCTGTCATAAAGCTGCACTGAAAAGATTTGAGGTGAGGCTGACAGTAGCTTTGTCGCACTGAAGAGGGAGCATGTGAGCTCAGGGTTATTCTTGTTCGGTGGTTGCTCTTCTTCTACGCAGTAAAGTTCAACAGGAATCTGTATGTTTTGCTCTGACTGACTGCGAAAATTGCAGATATCAGCTGGAAGGTTTTTCAGAATTGGACTTTCAATCAATTGTGAATAAATAATTGACGACCAATGCCGAACTAAAGGATATGCAAAGGATGGGACAGAGGATAGAGCGATAATTTCAAAGTAATTTAAGTCACCAGTGTTCAAATCCTGTGTGTGTGTGTGTGCATCTGACCACTGTGGTGCTGTTTGTGTGTGTGTGTGTGAATTGCGAGAGCGCATCCGGCATGGTGCTGTGTTTGTGGCGTGTTATAGTTGTCTGTAGCATCCAGCTGGGTGTTTTTTGGAATGCATATATAATCACTATACATTTTACATTCTTCCTTAGCCCAGTATGTACCTGCCATCTGTATCGCTGATATGATATATTAAACACAATTGGTAGTTGGCACATATACTGGGTGGATATGTTTGTAAATCTGACTTTTGACTTTGAAAGAGTTGGTGCCTCACCAGCCACCAACCTCACTGCACATCACTGATGAGTACGGAACTATAGCTTAGCATCCTCTCAGGTTAGCTTAATTAAAATACAATTTTTCTTTCATGATTATTATCAAATTTTCGGATTTGAGTTTCTCCCCTTGTGCAAATAAGTTTGTGCTCTTCATTAAGTAGAAATATCTGCTCAACTAAAAGTCTGTTCATTTGGTTATTTATCTCTTATATCGGATCGTTAGAGCTGCGCATCGATGAATTTGCTCTTCAGTGTTTGGACTCTCAGTAATGATTTAAACCACACTAAACTGAGCTAAACTGAACTGAACTTAATCACTAAAAACTAAACTACCATGATCAAGTTACTATGACCATTTATGTGAAGCTGCTTTGACACAATCTACATTGTAAAAGCGCTAAACTAATAAAGCTGAATTTAATTTAATTTAATTATATATCTCATATATCTTCTTAACTAGCTATCGGTTTGCCATTAACCAATAATTAATAGCTATTAGCCAATAACAGCAATGTACTCTAAAGGTGATCATAGATCATTTAGTACTTGCTGAGGATGTAGACAGTAGCCTTTAATGGCTCTTTTTTTCTTACTGCTGTAAATTTTTTAATTGTTCTTGAATAAGCTATCTTCTCATTTGGTTAATCAAATCTATTAAAACACAGCTCAAACTCCATGTTGTTTGTAATAAATATTCACTTGAAAGTTGAAACATGAAAAGAGATGAAGGAATAAATACATTTGATTTCGCAGCGTCTTTTTATTTGTCTTAGATTTTCACATGAGGTGTTGAACAATGATAATTTAATTTGATAATTCGTTTGGGCCGAAAATTAATGACGACTTAATGGGTCTCATTTGGCACCATTTTTACTTCTTCATGACCTCGACGTCGACATCTTCTGTGCGAGAGACCACTTTACCATCAACCACCTCTTCGATTACTGTGCGAACGCGCTTGGTCACAACAGGATCGGCTGGAGAGGGAAAAAAAAGTAAGTTAATTTATGTGTAATATTTATAAATTCTATTTTGGTGTTTGTAAAGTTTGCAAAAATACTTACGCTTGGGGGGTGCTACAACCTCGACTACTTTGATTGTCTGTCTCCTGTAAACAAAAAAAGGGAAATTGTAGTTAAATATATGTGTACAATTCTACAATCATTTGTTTTATTTATTTGTAAAACTGATCTTACTGAATATCCTCTCCATCCAGAAGTCTCCTGTACTCTGCGATCTCCATCTCTAGTCTGGTCTTGATGTCCAGCAGCAGTTTGTATTCGCTGGCCTGTCTTTCGATGTCCATGCGCATCTGAGTGAGCTCCTGCTCCAGACTATTAATGACGGCCTGCAGTTGGTTGAGCTGAATGCTGTACCGTGACTCTGTCTCTCCCAGTGTGCCCTCCAGAGCTGATTTCTTTTGAGAGAAAATTGCAAGAAAATGTGTTTTTCAATCAGCAATACTAGAAATGTGAGCACTGCCTATTAATTTTGTGTATTATATTAAATGAAGCTCCCCCTAGTGGTAGAAGAAATGTTTTTTTTATTATTATTATTTACATATTGCTAAGAACGTTTACCAGGCTAAGCTGTGACTGTAGTTCGATCTCCAGAGCCTGCAATGTTCTCCTGAGTTCGTTGATTTCATTACGTGACATTGAGAGGTCTTCTTGTCTGGTGGATACTTGCTTGTTCAGTTCGTCGAACTGTGAAGAAAGAGTTTGAGGTTAGCATTTAGCTGACTTTGTATGGTTTAGCCATTGATGTACTGTAGAAATACTTACTTTGCCCTTGTACCAGGCCTCCATTTCACGCTTGTTTTTCTCTGTGATGCCTTCATACTGCTGTCGCATCTCCTCCATGATGCGGGCCAGGTCTTGCTGAGGTGCAGCGTCAACCTCTACATTTACACTGCTGGAAGTCATTTGAGCGCGAAGAGCTGCGAGTTCCTACAGAACAACAATATATCTGTTAGCTTATGTGGTGGTAGCTTATGGTGAAATGTTCTGAAAACATTGTCGTCAAAATAAAATTGCTCAATCTGAAGTTTGAGAAGACATTGGTCACTGCACTGAAAGCTATTTGATTTTACACTTTTAGCCATCATCTGAAATTCCCAGTTTCACAGATTCTTTTCAAAACGACTGACTGGATTTTGATCTGGAAATTTGACCACACCTTTAATCTTTGAAGGTCCTACCAAGAACTTAGGGCTTGAGGTTATGGTTAATTACAGGATTAGTCTCGCTAATAGTGTCTAAAATCACACTTGATTGGAGAAGATTACTGGTCTGGTTGATTACTAAGTAAATTCCACCGGGTTTGCCCAGCCTGGAGGGCCATAAAACATTTGTTTGATCTCACCTCTGCATGGTTCTTCTTCAGGTACACGAGTTCCTCCTTCAGACCTTCGATCTGCATCTCAAGATCAGAGCGAGTCATGGTGAGATCGTCCAGAACCTTCCTCAGGCCAGCAATATCGGCCTCCACTGACAGACGCAGAGCCAATTCATTCTCATACCTGAAAAGCACAAGCATGGTTAGAGTCGGAATCTATGAGCTCCTAAAAAAAATGAGAAACCCTCACGGAATGATGCCTTTTGAAATAAAGGTAAAAGGTTTTAAATTTAAAGGTTGAATGTACTAACTTGACTCTGAAGTCCTCAGCTGCCAGTTTGGCATTGTCAATCTGAAGGATGATTCTGGCATTGTCCTGGCTGGCAACGGAGATCTGAAGACAAACAGATGAAGAATTTTGACTTAACGCATCTTAAGAATTGAGATACAACTTATAATGGTAAACCAAACATGTTGCTATTGCATAAACCTTATACACATAAGCTACTTTATGAATATGGTTTAAATTATTGTATAATCTTGTTTGTGTGTGTGTGTGTGTTTGTGTGTGTGTGCGTGTGTGTGTTTCCATTATTTATGATATTTTATAGTGCTATTTTATTGTATGGGCATGTATCATTTTATATGCTCTCTATGACATCCTACCTAAACTAAAAGTCCACTTAAAAGTCCACTTACATGATAAGAATCCTGATAGCTTTGTTAAAGTACAGTCCTTTTGCTTTCAGTCAAGATCCTGATAGACAGTTTTATGATACTGTAATGTCTATATCAGTGTACATATTACTATATATGAATTCTGATAATGTAGGAATGTAAAATAACTGGACGTATAATAAAGTGATTAAATAATGTAGGCATGTAGCAACTATAAAGATTAGCAATTTTTATTTGTTCAACCTTCACGATTAAATAAGAAAGTAATAATTTTAATTTGTAAAATGTGTCTAAATCCAATATATTTTATATAATCACTTACTTTCTTGCGCAGATCTTCAATGGTGACATAATAGTGGCTGTAGTCTCTGGAAACTGGGGTCCTCTTATCGTACCACTCCCGGATCTGGCGCTCCAGCTCCGCGTTGGCTTTCTCCAGGGAGCGCACCTTCTCCAGGTAACTGGCCAGACGGTCGTTGAGGTTTTGCATAGTGGTCTTCTCGTTGACAACCATGCCGAAGCCATTGTCGCCCCCGGCAAGAGCGCTGGACATGTCGAAACCGCCCCTGGAGCTCTGTGCGTAAGAGACGCGCACGCTGCCTCCAGCACCTGCGTAAACGCTTGGAGCGCGACCGACGGCGATGCGCTTCGAGTATCCACCAGTCAGAGACTGTGAAGAGAACGGACGAGAGCTGGAGACGCTCTTGCGGGAGAAAGACTGAGTAACCTGAGACATGGTTTCTGTTGCCTCTGCGCCTTGTTGGACAACTCAGACAGCTGCGTAATAGTTTTGGAGAGCTGAGGACCCTTTTTATAGTTTGAGTGGGGAGGTGTGGCGATTTCTGCTTACCTATGTTAATGATTATCAAAAAAGCATCAAACAGGTGTGTCCTGGGTGCGACCGTGAAAATTGCCCAGGATAGAGCCCTGAGGCACGCCTAACCTGATCTACTTGGTTTTTTAAATAAACATTAATTCTGGATTAACTCCCAGGAGTTTAACGTTTGATGGGTCAGGATGGATGTTAGGAACTTTATGACTTTCGGTTGTAATAGCAGTCATTAAACATGGGTCAGCAGTTCATGCATTCAGATTTATTGCTAAATAAATATCTGACGATTTGTAATTGCTTTTTGTAAATCTATTATAATGAATTATTATTTTATCGTTTTTATGCATGTTGTTAAAAGAATATAGATTAAAACAAACGAAACACTGTAAAACTTGATGTAACAGAGCATTTGAATATCCTGGAAAATTTATTTAGTTAAAAAAAAATAAACAAATGAGAGAGCAATTGTAGAATGAGAATTGTTCGTTGAAAGGGAAAACATTTTTAAACATTGGCATGCTCTGTATGCTTAAATGCATGTACATTGTCATATTTGGGCTTAGTAAAAACTTACAAGTTTTCCATGCATGCTGAATTTGATATTAATATAAAGTTGAAGTCAGAATTATTAGCACCTCTTTGATTAGATTGATTATTTCCCAAATTATGTTTAACAGAGCAAGGAAATGTTCACAGTATGTCTGATAATATTCTTTTGTTCAGGAGAAAGTCTTATTTGTTTTATTTCGGCTAGAATAAAATTAGAATAAAAACATTTTAAGGTCAAAATCATTAGCCCCTTTAAGCTATATATTTTTGCAATAGTCTACAGAATAAACCATCGATATACAATAACTTGTCTAATTACCCTAATCTGCCTAGTTAACCCAATTAACCTAGTTAAGCCTTTAAATGTCACTTTAAGCTGTATAGAAGTGTCTTGAAAAATATCTAATCAAATATTTACTATCATCATGGCAAAGATAAAAGAAATCAGTTATTAGAAATGAGTTATTAAAACTATTATGTTTAGAAATGTGTTGAAGAAATCTCAGTTAAACAGAAATTGGGGGGGAAAGGGGAGCTAATTCTGACTTCAAATGTATGTGAGCTTAATTTTAAAGGTTTTTTTTGTTATTATCATATTTGTTAACGTGCGCTAATTGAAAACAGCATGCAGAAAAATGAGAATTGGCAACAAAAAAAAAAAGAAAAAAAAGAAAAGAAATGTGTGTCCCTTGCTTTAATAAATCCCAACAGACTTGCTTTATATGAGGAAATGCTAAAAATCCTTACTAATAAAGTAACAAAATCTTTCCACAATGCAGAAAGTTCATTATAGTTTTTATTTGTATGAAAGGGTGCTTATTTTAGTTATTTTTGCATAAAATAAACTTGTATTTAATATTTAATACATGCATAACTTAAAATAAGGACTTCTCCATTCTGATAAAATTGTAAGGAATTTCCTATATATGCCTGTTTGGTATGGATGTGGTTAAACTCAAAGTTCAAGATGAAATGTAGGCTGAAAGATGTACAGTCAGTGACCATGACTGGAAAGTAAGTTATAAGGCGATTGCCCTGTTCGGTATGTGCAGAATGAGGACTTTAAGCCTTTCACTATCACTGTCACTCCACACCCTGATTAGATGCAAAAGAGGTCGATGAAATATCCTGATTTAACAGATTACAATAAAACAGTCACTGGTCATAATGCTAGTGTCGACGCACCACCAATATCATGTCAGATAATTATTGAATAAAACGCTAAATACTCGGATTGTTTTTATTTCTTTCAAAGCAGTGTGAAAGTCTATTCTGTGACATGTCATTTATCTTGAATACTTGCTACCAAAGTACACTTTTAGCCAGCCCTGAGGCATGTAATAATTATACAAGGTTTTCGTGTGTGTTTTCTGTGATTATATGTCCCAGACACGTCGTACAAAGGTGAGGTTCAACTTACAAGATCGTGTTCCCTTCAGTTCCATGTTCGGTGTGTAATAATTAAGTTGTCTTTCACCTCTCCCTTTGTCATTTCTCCAACTTACCTGTTGTTATTGCATCACTCGGCTCGTTTCTCATAAACTACAGAAGGAGTGTCTAATTTTCCGTTTTATCTGTACACATCATAGCTTACCTCATCCAGACCAAATAAACAGGTGTGTGATTCTGTGTTAAATTAACTCGTTTACACGTTTGTTTTCGCGGGTCTCGACAATCGTTTTCCCTCTCACACTATTTCTCCTTCACCGTGAAATCGAGTTTCTCCTTTTTAAATGGTTTTACCACTCCTTCAAGGACGGGCTCTGAGGTCATGAATCTTTCAAGTCCTCTTTGTTGATGCTGGTTTTGCTCATTTGTACTCTTTGTTTTGACTCGAGTTGATCAGCCTGTTGGTTTGGCAAGTGTTGATGTTCTGTCGAGTTTACGCGTGGAAAGAGATGGCGGTCCAACAAACATGACAACAGTCAGCATTTGAAGTGGATAAAAAAAGAAAACAAAATTAATGGTCCTAAGACAAAATTAGGTTTCAATTTTTTGGGCTAAAATTTTTTGATCCAAATGTTGACATCTTGTGTTCATCATCAATGTAGAGAAAATGTAGGCTAAGTTCTAGAAAAATATTGCTTAAAAGGTAAGCTGTGTGAATTGAATAGTGTGGAACTACTGAAAATGACTGCAACGACTTAAATGTAACAAAAATTTAATAGGAATAATTAAACAAAATTTTTATTATTTCATAATTACATTCATTCATTCATTCATTATCTTGGCTTAGTCCCTTTATTAATCCGGGGTCGCAACAGCGGAATGAACCGGCAATTTATCCAGCAAATTTTTACACAGCCGATGCCCTTCCAGCCGCAACCCATCTCTGGGAAACATCCACACGCACATTCACACACACAGTCTTACAATACGAACAATTTAGCCTGCCCAATTTACCTGTACCGCATGTCTTTGGACTGTGGGGAAACCGGAGCGCCCGGAGGAAACCCACACGAAGGCAGGGAGAACATGCAAACTCCACACAGAAACGCCAACTGAGCCGAGGTTTGAACCAGCGACCTTCTTGCTGTGAGGCGACAGCACTACCTACTGCGCCACTGCCTCGCCCATAATTAGATTATTATTATTATTATTAATAGTATTTTATTTAATCAGTATAATAGGCTACAAATCTATAAAAGTTAATTAAATAATTAAAATCTAACCTATGACTGCCCATAAATCTGCTATTATTTAGCACTTTACCTAATCAGGTATATTTGCTTATTTTTATTATTTTAGCCTAATACACATGGCATCGTTAAAATAAAAAAATAAAAATGTATCTATTATTTTATACCTGCATCAATAACCATAAAATACTGTATCACTTTACCTAAGGTGTGTGTGTGTGTGTGTCTGTATGTTTTGTTTGAGTAAAATTAACATCTAAGACTAAAATTAATTAATTAATTAATTAATTAATTAATTACTTTTTAGTAATTTCATTTATTTAATTTTAACTTGAGCAATAATCAGCCACAAATCTGATCTGCACGCGCACACACACACGGGCAAAAAAGTCTCCAGTAATTCCCATTGACTCATCTTACCTCAAACACAATAACGTCATGTAAAAAATGTTTGTTGTTGTCTTAGCGACTAAAGAATGACCTTTGGATGAAGTCCTGCCAGTTTCAGACGGATAGGCGATATTAAACCACGCTTAATTGACACCAGTAAGGGCGAACGCCACGAAACGTCAAGTCCTGCGTCAGAATGCTTTTACAGCGCAAGCATAAACACAGAATTAGTTTACTATAAATATGAGATCCATGTAACCTGAAACACTCATTTGTCAAAGGATTTACTAATGTATGTTTCTCCACTTGCCCGATAGAATCCCGAAAAAATGTTCTGAGGTAAAGCCTCTGTTTGATTAGTAAAGGTCACGTGACGTAAAGGTCAACATAACGCCTCGGTAAGCCAAAACCAACGGTAACTCCGCCAGCGACCAGTCTGACTAGAAGAGAGGTATGAGCCCATCCTTGTTTTAGTTTTAATCATCAAAGACACTCCTCCACATAATTATTTTTCTGAGACTGGCAGTCTCTTCTCTCACCTCGGGCGACTGCCAACCCGTGTCAAAGCATATTAAAGACGTCTTTTGTGAAGGCTTTCACTTCTCAAAGTAATTTAAGTCCTTCACATGCGCGCGGGTTATTGATATTTGTGTTTTAGGCTCTGGGCTAACACTTCATTGTGATATAATCTTATTGCTGACTTGCTATTTTCTTAGTCGTTTATCAATTTAATCGCTTTGAACGATGACGTAATCGCGTGAATTGTCACGAAGGTTTATGCAGCATGATTTATGCAAATCTTGAAATGGTGAGATTATTGTTGTGACGTAATGCTGAGTATGTCCAATCTGTCTTAATATGTTTATTCCTTTTTTTTCTCCTGCAGTCACTATTTATTTTTTATGTTTTAAAAATTGATATTTGAGACTTTTTTTTTCTTTTTTTCTTTTTTTTTTTTGCTGTTTAAAGGAGCAATCATATTTTCACAGTATTTCCTATTGTAGGCTATTTGCTCTTCTGGAGAAAGTCTTATTTCTTTTAGTTTGGCTTGAATAAAAGTTACTTTTTAACACGTTTATTATTAGCCCCCTTAAGAAATATATATTTTTTTGCCTAAACACAATCAATTAAGTTAAGCCTTTACATTTAAATAGTAATTATAAGTAAGTTATTAAATATTAAATATATTTTCGATTTATCAATTCAGAGTAGATTTTATATACAGTTGAAGTCAGAATTATTAGGCCTCTTTGAATTTTTTTGTTTTATTTCAATATTTCCCAAATGATGTTTAACAGAGCAAGGACATTTTCACAGTATGTCTGATGATATTTTGTCTTCTGGAGAAAGTCTTATTTGCTTTAT